TACTATTTACCTCATCATGGGGTGTTGAAGGAATCATCCAGTACCACTAAACTACGTACTGTGTTCGATGCTAGTGCAAAAACCTCCAATGGTACATCTCTCAATGATATTTTGCTTACAGGAAGAAAAATGCAAACCAACATTTGTGACTTGTTGCTCATGTTTAGAACTCATAGTGTAGTTTTTTTATGTGATATAAGGCAGATGTACAGACAGATTAAAGTCCATTCTGAGGACCAGAAGTTTCACTATATCCTATGGCATACTCGTCCAGATCAACCACCCTCTACCTTCAGACTTACCACAGTAACCTATGGAGTCAATTGCTCACCGTACCTCGCAATCAGGACTTTGCACCAACTTGCCAATGATGAAGGCGACTCGTTCCCTGAAGCGGCAGAGATTCTTCGAACACAAACCTTCGTTGACGATGTGATTTCTGGTGGAGATTCCGAAGAAGAAGCTTTAAGACTCCAGAGACAACTCATCGCCCTATTAGCACGTGGAGGCTTTGAGCTAAGGAAATGGACTTCCAACTCCAGTCGACTTCTTCTAGATCTTCCAGATGGTCATCGAGAGACTCCGGTGTTCCTTCAAGATAGTTCACAGCCTCATCACACCATTTTAGGCATTCACTGGTCTCCAGTTACTGACTGTTTTACATACAATTTTAATTTTTCCGCAAGCGCAACTACAAAGCGTCAGGTGCTCAGTGTGATTGCACAAATATATGACCCCTGTGGTTTCCTCTCCCCAATTGTGATGTGGGCAAAACGTTTTATGCAGCTCTTGTGGACCAAAGGATTGGATTGGGATCAAACACTTCCCGCTGCCCTACTCGAAATGTGGCAAAGTTTCACTTCATCTACAGACAGCCTGCGAGAGATTTCAATTCCTCGAGCTTTTCAAGTGTCACGAGCATGCACTACTGCCTTACATGGCTTCTCAGATGCCTCCGAGAATGGTTATGCTGCAGTTGTTTACTTGCGCTGTGAACTCAGTGATGGGACTGTCACAATCAGGCAGATTATGTCAAAAACTCGGGTTGCTCCCTTGAAAAAACTTACTATTCCACGCTTGGAACTATGCGCCGCCCATCTTCTTGCCCAGATAGTAGCCTATGTGGTTTCTATTTACAAGATAAAATTAAAGATTTCATCCATCATTCTCTGGTGTGACTCTACTATCACCCTAACTTGGCTGCAGACACCACCTCATCGATTGAAGACCTTTGTTGGGAACAGGGTTGCGCAGGTGCAAGAATTAGTACCTAATCATTGCTGGCGACACATATCCAGTGAATATAACCCCGCTGACTGCGCGTCACGAGGTATCCTCCCATCAGAATTGTCTAACCACGAACTTTGGTGGTCTGGTCCCCCATGGCTTCAATATTCGAGTGAATCTTGGCCATCCTCAAACTTTACTCCTCTAGATATTACAAAAACAGGAGAAAATAAACCTCAGTCACCTACCACTCTTATATCTACAATAAAACCCACTCAAGAATGGGAACTCCTCACTAGATTCTCTCACTTCAGCAAACTTACACGAGTGATGGGTTACATTTTACGATTCATCTATAACCTCCGGCACTCAAAAAGGTGCTCAGGCCCTCTCACCTCATCTGAGTTAACTCAAAGTCGACTGACAATCTTCAAGAAGGTTCAAGAAACGGTTTTTGGAGATGACATCGCAGCGTTGAAGAACAACTCATCTAAAACCAATTCATCACTTCGACGTCTCCATCCTTTCATTGATAAATCAGGTTTACTTCGTGTTGGTGGACGATTGAATGCATCTCAACTTTCAGAAGACGTTAAGCATCCTGTAATTCTACCTAAGAAACATCATGTGATTGACATTCTTATTGATTTCTATCACCAGAAATATTTGCATTCAGGGCCTCCATTAACTCAATCCCTTCTCGTTTAGAGCGTTTGGATTCTTTCTGCCCGCAGCGCAATACGCTCTCGAATTTTTAAGTGTGTCATCTGCTTTCGACACAAACCACATAATAAAATTCCACTGATGGGTGATCTCCCAAAATCCCGAGTGACACCTTCTCGTCCATTTCTCAACACGGGGCTGGACTACGGTGGTCCTTTCAACATCAAGGTTCATAACCTCCGTTCAATACGTTTGACAAAAGCGTACATTTGTATCTTCGTCTGCCTTGTAACAAAGGCTGTTCACATTGAAGTAGCTACTGACCTATCAACTGATGCCTTCATTGCTGCACTAACTCGTTTTGTGTCAAGACGTGGCCTCTGCAAGAACATATATTCGGACTGCGGGACAAACTTCGTTGGTGCTAATAACGCCTTTCAAGCTCTCTTCAAGTCAGCTGAACGAACATCTTTTCTTGAATTTTCCTCAAACCAAGACATTACCTTCCATTTCAACCCCCCAGCTGCTCCTCACCAAGGTGGTCTCTGGGAAGGAGCCGTTAAGAGTGCCAAGCATCACCTCCGCCGTGTCATCGGCGAACATGTCCTAACCCTCTCAGAGTTCATGACCCTGACTACTCAAGTGGAGGCGATACTTAATTCGAGACCTCTCACACCAATGTCAAACGACCCTTCAGATGTCACTGCGCTCACTCCAGGACATTTCTTGGTCGGAGCTCCACTTGTCTCTGTTCCTGATGAAAATCTGGAAGATGTTCCTGATAATCGCCTGAAACACTGGCATTTGGTCAAGGCCCTAAATCAACGCATCTGGAAGAGATGGCAACTGGAGTACATTCACACCCTCCATCAGCGGGTTAAATGGACTGAACAAGATTCCAATCTTCGCATTGGTGACCTCGCCTTAGTACATCAGCCTACTCCTCCTCTTTCTTGGCCGTTAGCTCGGATTGTGGGTGTCTCCCCTGGAAAGGATGAGGTTGTACGGGTCGTCCACTTGAAAACTCAACAAGGACTCTTGACTCGACCAGCTCACAAGGTTTTTCCTTTGCCTGCTTATCAAGAGTAACTTCAAGAACTTTAATTTGTAAATAGTATTTTTTCTCAACCACTTTGGAAAGAAGATTTATTTTATTGGAATATTATTTTTGTGTTGATTTGTTGAATCCTGGAGGATTCAAGGCCCCCTGTATGTTTAGTATTTAGAAGGAAAAAGGAACTATTAACTTTATATTAATTCAAAAGAAGAATATTTATTTTATTTTAAATACAAATGGTAATGCCAAACGCCAAAGCCACAGAACCCAAGTCCGTTTTATCTTCAGACAACAATCTTATCGCTCTATTCATGTCATTGTCCTTATCGCTTGTCGGTCGCTTCAGACAGGTATCCTGGTCATTCTCTCTCTGTCCACGGCCCTATTAATATGGTCTAGTACCGGCCACCTCTTTTAATCTCATTTCCATTTACATTATTTCATCAAGTTGTTTCAGTTTTCATTTTTATTGCAATTAATATTGCCCAATCTTATTCTGAAGTTATTTTTGTTGTTTTAGTGACAAGTAGTATTTTTATTTGCGTTTTATTAACCCACGAATCATGCACCATCAAGTAATCAAAGTGTCCTGTGCGGTGTCGCGACTTCCGTGTAATTAAAGTGGCCACGAACAATAAAAGACTTAGCGTTACGTGCGAACATCAAGCCTTCAAGCAGAAAGAAGAGCGAAAATCGTCTCATCCAACATCCAACTACCAAGGGTTCGTCACAGCGCCGACACTAATTTGAAGTTCAAATACGCCATCTTTCCCACTTCCCCCTACGTCTGCACTGGAGTTTGTAAAGGTACATGTTTTCAAGTTTCTTATTATTTTCCTCAATGTAATTTGCGGTGGTCCTTCGTAATTTACCTATGAATAATCACTTTTAATATTCAATTTTTAAATAAATACACTCATACGTAACAGTAACTGTTTTGTTTACATTTCAATGTTTACTTTCATTCTAGTTGGAATGTAACAGTTTATCAATGGAAGTAACAGTTTTGCTATATTTGTTTTGAGCATGCCTCAAAGGCCACGTCGTAATATTGTCGTCGCACCAATAATGCAAATATTGTAAGAGAGTGGCGTCGTGAACAAGAAGAACCAGATGAAGCAGTGGCGGAAGAAGCTGATAATGATAGGCAGTGAGCTAATCAATTCCAGCATGAATTAGATGCACTAACATTATACACTTGCACTAACTGTCATCGCCAACAACTAACAGCTTCAAACCAATCACCGATTTGTTCGCGTTGTCGTTCAAATGCAACTAAATTCACGGCGTTAAATAATATGGATGTGTCAAGTGTCCCGAACGAATTAACTGGCCTGACGATTGTAGAACAAATGTTGATTGCACGAGTACATCCCGCTATGCGCATTTACAAAGTACAAGCAAATGGTCAGGATGGCCAGTTTCACTACAAAGGTAACATCATTAATGTTGAGCAAGATATTAATGAAATAGCATCTGTCTTACCTACACTGCCCGAAAGCTTAAAAGTCATCATTGTCCAACGTCAAGGCGTCTTTGGCCATATCGATTTCAAAGTTCGACGTGAAAAACTACAGCAAGCACTTATTTGGCTGAAGGCAAATAACCCATTCTATTTTGACATAACCATTAGTGATGAAGCGCTACACCAACTACCAGTCAATGATTTTGTTCACATGAGAGTACCGTGTGTACGTGAAAACCAAGAAAGTCCTGATGAAATCGAAGAAGACCAAGTTGAAGAAACATCGGTGCCTATGCTTGCGCAGTCTCGTCAAAGGGATCACGTTCAGAGACTAATGTGGCCGACCGGAACACTGTTGAAAGGGAACATATTGTAGGTTGTTAGCTGCTTTAGCAATTGACAATCTTTAAATAATGCTTCGCTCATTTATTTGTCTAAAGTATAACGAAGGACCACCCTAGTTTATTTTTTATTTCATTATTTCTATCGACTCCCAACTACTATATATACCGTAATTCATTCACAATTTAATATCTTAAGAAGTGGCCACAGCCTCTATTTTAGACAATTAATAGGTAAGCTACTTACATGTATTGAATATGCTTCCTTGCTGAACAGTATTTGTTTCAGAGCACGTTGTGCAACTAAAATCATAGGAAATAACATTTAATTAACGTTATTATTTTAAAGAAATAAGGATTCTTGATGTAAAGCCATGTTCACACTATACAACTTGTTTTATAGGTCATTATCAAATTGAGAACAAATAAATGTCTTGTGGACATATAAAGTAGTAAAAATAAAAAAAAAATATTTAAAACTAAAGACAAAGATTATATCTACATACGTAGTATAAAAATAAAATGTTTAAACAAATTATTTTTGAAAAAAAATAACCTTTAGTACCTTAAATGTCCCCCTCGCTAACTGTCCTACACTGGCTAGCCTAAAGTTTATATGTAGTTATTGTGGTTTGAAAAAAATATAATTAAATAATAATCTTCTGTGGTGTTATATAAATACTGTTTCATTTCCATTACCCATTGCAAACTATTTTTAAATTTTGATATTTCCGAGACATATAACATTTTTACTTAGTCCTATGAAAACCATCTAGGTTACAAGCGATTTTGAATTTGCCGCTATTTCCATTGTAAGTTTCGCACGATCGCCGCCAAGAGCAGTAGTGAGTGCAGGAAGAGTTATCTTTGTCAGAAAACGTGTTAATAACGAATTGTTCTTGTTAATAAAACAAATTTAGTGACAATTAGGGTAAGTATTGAGTGCGTATGTTAATTTAGTGTCTTTTCGCTAACTGCTGTTATTATTAATTGTTGTCTTTTTAAAAATGTGTGTGTTTGTGATGGAAAAGCAAATTGTACATAGAACCTAACCTCAAAGGTCCGATTACTTTCACGTGTATGCGGAGGGAATAGAGAGCAATATACCAGTAAAATGTCTCTTCGCTTATGGTCCCTCCGCTTACGTTAGCGGAAAGACAGTCTCACCCACTAACGTAAGCGAGGAAGACTGTCTCACACGCTAACGTCAGCGAGGAAGACTGTCTTGTCCGCTAACGTAAGCGAGGAAGACTGTCTCAACCGCTAACGTAAGTGATGGAGACTGTCTCACCCGCTAACATAAGCGAGGTTGACTGTATATAGCTACGCTTACGTTAGCGAGGTCGACACTTCTCTTTTACATATGCACACATTGTATAATATGGTATATAAAATATGCAATTTTCATCATTGACACATTACATACAATTAGGTATTTTCAAGCATCATGGTTTAATCTATGAAAACAGTTAGTTGATGACAACTGAATCTCGTACAGAAAAACTCATAATTATTATTTTCAAATATGGTCGGGAATAAAAATGTGACTATATTAATTGCACACTTTTTTCAAACCTGTTTTTGATTTCAATTACATATCTACGATTTATTTCAGACTAAAGATTAAAATGGCGAAAAAGAAGGAAAAAAATAAAACTAGTACTGAAAGTCGGAAAAAAACTAAAAGTGAAGCGGCTAAATATCAAAGGCATTTGGAGCTAAGTGCGGCAAGGCAACGCAAATGCAAAGCCAACATGAGCCAAGAGCGACTTGAAGCTAAAAGAAAAAGAGACAGAGAACGGTACTATAGACTGAAGGAAGAAAAAAAAATTAAACATGTCTCAGACATGGACGAAAAAGAAAAACAACGGGCGAGAAAATTGTGGAAAAAAAAGAAGGCTGCGTATAGGAAGAAAAAGAAGGATGAGAAAGAACTCATACAAAATACTCCCCCGAACAGTGACAATGAAGATGCAGGCCTGGCCGAAAACATAACACAAGAAAGTAACATTTCCAGACAACAACAAGTTGGAAGGCGAAAGGTTCATCGGGATAAAAGCAAAGTATACAGAGAATTGAAAAAAGCTAATCAAGAAAAAGATAAACTTCAAAAAGAAGTTGCTAAATTAAGAAAAAGGCTAAGCCGAATAAAAGAAAAAAACACCATCCGTTCAAATTCATATATATGATACGATTTTGATGAAATTTGGTACAAACGTGTAAACCTACGTTTATTCGATCGAGTTCGCGATCCAGCATAATCGGACCATGGGAACAGGGGTTTATGGGGGGTTTTATGGGGTAAAAATGTGTTTTTCCCATTTTTTACCCTAAAAACAAAAAATTTTGCAATTTATTTCTAAACCGTTTTGTAGAGCTTAAAAAAAGAAATAATTTAGTATATTGAAGCGCTGTTGTATGCCTAACGGTCACGGAGAAAATTCAAAAATAGTTTAATTTTAAATTCCCATGTTATTCTTATGGAGAAAATAAAAATTGTTGTAGTTTACTTGTTTATGGATATATATTGATAAAATTTGGCAAATTTATTTATTTCATCCCATACTATTCACGTATGGTCAAAAAACACTTTTTACCTTCCCCGTAGCAGCAAACCTAAGCACTTGTTAAATTTAATGTTATTTAAATAGGGAATAAATAATATGTCTTATTTATGGAAATATCTGAGTAAAAATGTAATCAGACAAGTTGAAATTTGCTTAGTCTGCAGGTTTGCTGTGGCGGGGGCTTATTCCCCATATGGGAAATTCGCTAAAAGAAAAGAAGAAAACTGGAAATGGTATATCACCGTCTCCAAACAAAAAGGTTCAGGAATTAGTTGCTGGAGAAAAAATTTCACCTAACATAAGAAGAAGACTTTTCGTTGGGTATGCTTTAGAAAAGCAATTAACCGAAAATATTAAGCGGGTGAAAGCAAAAGGAAGAGATACGCACATAATAAACAGAATTATTGGAAGTAGCATTGTAAGGAAATATAAAATTCAAAATGAACTGAAATCTATTATTCCTTACAGTTATACCCGCAAAAATAACAAAAGTGATGATGACAGCTTAACCTATAAGAAGAAAACATACAACACAGTAAAAGTTCTTGAAGCTAGACAGATAAAAAAATTCTTTGAAGGAGACGACGTTTCTAAAATGTTACCTGGAAAAAAAGACTATGTAAAACGAGGTGGCGTAAAAAAACAAAGGAGACTTTTGCTAGACAACTTAAAAAATCTATACCAAAAATTCAGGAATGAAACCAACTGCAGCATTTCGTATACAACTTTTACAAGGTGTAGGCCGTATTGGGTTACCCCTCCAACATCAAGAGATCGTGACACCTGTGCGTGTATTAAGCACGAAAACGTCAATTTGTTGGTTTCTGCTTTGAAGAAAATGAATGCTATAGAATACAAGGATACTTCAGAACTTATTAAATCTGTAGTATGTTCTACTGAAAGTGAAGAATGCATGACGAGCAAGTGCACCAAATGCAAATCATTAGACATTTTATATACAATGGAAGATGAAAATGTTCATGTTAACTTCTTTAAATGGACTTCAATCACTGAAAAGAGAGTAATAAAGGACGAAGAAAAAAATGTCAAGCGAACAGTTAAGTCTACAATGTCAGCAAATTTAGCTGAAGTAAAACTTCTTCTCAAGTCACAAGTCAATATGTTGAAAGAGCATATATATTTTATGAAGCACCAAACAAAAACTCTGAAGGCTACGACAGAAAACCTTGACGAGCACACAATTCTATACCAACTTGATTTTTCACAAAACTACGTGGCCAAATGCAGCACAGAAATTCAGTCTATGCACTTTGGTGCTTCCAAAAAGCAACTTTCTCTTCACACAGTCGTACGCTACCATTTAGAAGACAATGTCGTAGCAAAGTCGTTCTGCACCGTTTCCGAAAATTTAGATCACCATGCCCACGGTGTGTGGGCTCACTTCACACCTATTTTAGAACAGACTGCTGAAACCTTCCCCGAAACAAAGAACATAGTGATATTTTCAGATTCCCCGTCGTCCCAATACAGAAATAAGACCAACTTGTATTGCATGGCCAACTTTTTACCGTCTATGTTTAAAAAGCTTGAAACTTTCTCGTGGAATTTTTCTGAACCTGGCCACGGGAAAGGTTCAATGGATGGTGTCGGCGGCTCGTTAAAACGTAATGCTGATAGCTTTGTTCTCCATGGAAAAGATATTACGAGTGCATCGGATTTCGTTTCCCTTTTTCAAAACAGCAAAACGACAGTAATTGAAGTAACTGACGACCAAGTGAAACACATGAAATCATCTATCCCTAACAATATTAACACAGTTAAAGGGGTCATGTCGGTGAAACAGATAACTTGGGGAGTTGATGGCGATTTAAACCTAAGAAAGCTGTCTTGCATGACTTGCAAACCAGGTATAAAATGCAAGCATTATCATTTGAAAACAATCGATAACTTAATCAATGGAAATATTAATGCAATCCAAAACACCAAGATAAAGTCTAAACCAACAAAACAAAAGAAAGGAAAAATTAGAGTGTCTGAAGTGTATACAAGTGGGAGTGGTTCGGAAGATGAAGAACCAGTTGGAGTTGAAACTTCAGTTGTTATTCAACCATTTGATTATGATGCAGTGAGTGAAGGTACTCACCTTTTGGTAACATTTACACTGGAAAGAAAACCGTTGAAAATGAAAAAGTATGTTGCAGTGGTTCAAAAAGGAATTGACAGTGAAAGAGAAGTCAACGTCATGTTTATGAAGCGGCCATCGCCCAAAGATAAGACACTTTTTTATGCAGATGAAACTGACATTTCTTATATAACTTGCGATCAGATTAGTGGAATACTGCCCAACCCAGAAATGGTTGTTATGGGCGAGAGAATCTTTTATAAGTTTCCTGGGCCAATAGATTTGTAAATCATCAAAACCCACTTTGAGTTCTTACTTAAATGACTAATACTTTTTCGTGAGATAGGCCTATAGTTTTTATATTTTTGAATATTGTTAACTCATTGTATGCAAGTCCAATTATTGTTTTGTTGCCCATTGTTTGCCTTATAACTTGATTTACCTAAGGATATATGTTCCTTTTACTTTTGTTTTTAAGAACATTAGTGTGAGATTCCTTGTATTTTTGTAAAGTTTGAAAGTTAAGGGCTATAGAATATTTTATAAGTTTCCTGGGCCAATAGATTTGTAAATCATCAAAACCCACTTTGAGTTTTTACTTAAATGACTAATACTTTTTCGTGAGATAGGCCTATAGTTTTTATATTTTTGAA